CAAGATAGTCCTGCTCCTACACCAAGTGGCCAAGAGAGTCCCTCCCAAGGAGGTTCGCCAGACATCCATTTCCATCACCACCACCGCCGTCACCACCACCGCCATGGTCACATCCCACTAAGCCAGTCCAGCTTAAATGACATCGAATCTTCAAAAATTCAAGATAGCCCTGCTCCTACATCAAGTGGCCAAGAGAGTCCCTCCCAAGGAGGTTCGCCAGACATCCATTTCCATCACCACCACCGCCGCCACCACCACCGCCATGGTCACATCCCACTAAGCCAGTCAAGCTTAAATGACATCGAATCTTCAAAAATCCAAGACAGCCCTGCTCCTACACCAAGTGGCCAAGAGAGTCCCTCCCAAGGAGGTTCGCCAGACATCCATTTCCATCACCACCACCGCCGTCACCACCACCGCCATGGTCACATCCCACTAAGCCAGTCCAGCTTAAATGACATCGAATCTTCAAAAATTCAAGATAGCCCTGCTCCTACACCAAGTGGCCAAGAGAGCCCCTCCCAAGGAGGTTCGCCAGACATCCATTTCCATCACCACCACCGCCGTCACCACCACCGCCATGGTCACATCCCACTAAGCCAGTCCAGCTTAAATGACATCGAATCTTCAAAAATTCAAGATAGCCCTGCTCCTACACCAAGTGGCCAAGAGAGCCCCTCCCAAGGAGGTTCGCCAGACATCCATTTCCATCACCACCACCGCCGTCACCACCACCGCCATGGTCACATCCCACTAAGCCAGTCCAGCTTAAATGACATCGAATCTTCAAAAATTCAAGATAGTCCTGCTCCTACACCAAGTGGCCAAGAGAGTCCCTCCCAAGGAGGTTCGCCAGACATCCATTTCCATCACCACCACCGCCGCCACCACCACCGCCATGGTCACATCCCACTAAGCCAGTCAAGCTTAAATGACATCGAATCTTCAAAAATCCAAGATAGCCCTGTTCCTACACCAAGTGGCCAAGAGAGTCCTTCCCAAGGAGGTTCGCCAGACATCCATTTCCATCACCACCACCGCCATCACCACCACCGCCATGGTCACATCCCACTAAGCCAGTCCAGCTTAAATGACATCGAATCTTCAAAAATTCAAGATAGCCCTGCTCCTACACCAAGTGGCCAAGAGAGCCCCTCCCAAGGAGGTTCGCCAGACATCCATTTCCATCACCACCACCGCCGCCACCACCACCGCCATGGTCACATCCCACTAAGCCAGTCAAGCTTAAATGACATCGAATCTTCAAAAATCCAAGATAGCCCTGCTCCTACACCAAGTGGCCAAGAGAGTCCCTCCCAAGGAGGTTCGCCAGACATCCATTTCCATCACCACCACCGCCGTCACCACCACCGCCATGGTCACATCCCACTAAGCCAGTCCAGCTTAAATGACATCGAATCTTCAAAAATTCAAGATAGCCCTGCTCCTACACCAAGTGGCCAAGAGAGTCCCTCCCAAGGAGGTTCGCCAGACATCCATTTCCATCACCACCACCGCCATCACCACCACCGCCATGGTCACATCCCACTAAGCCAATCCAGCTTAAATGACATCGAAGCTTCCCAAATTCAAGACAGTCCCTACCAAGGAGCCAGTCCAACTTCAATGTCATAGTCATCGAACATAGTCATAGTCCTACTCATGTACCAACTCACCACAACGGCCATCACCAAGTACCTACCATCACTATCAATTGCGATGGCCTTAGTTTTTCTTTTAAAATAAAATTGTTATCACCAAGTACCTACCATCACTATCAATTGCGATGGCCTTAGTTTTTCTTTTAAAATAAAATTGTTAGTACATGTATGTCATGACATGTTTAAGAAATAATTTTCTTTTTAACTTTAAAACTTTCGTGGACTCCAATCTTCCAATTAATGCAAACACGATGAAAGCATAGTTAAAAATAAGGTTTAAACATGTTCTAATAGAAAAATCAAAGATCGTAATATTTAAAATATAACAAAAAGTGTGGAAAACTATATGTGAACAACTTCATTTCTGTGGCCTCCTCAAGCAGTAGACTTTACCAAGGGAGTGGGAAAAATTCATTCACATACAACATGTACCATAACCGGTAGGACATAATGTTTATGATTGTTTCTTGTACACTACTTTTTTCGGGTAGAGTTGGATGCATAGTAATTTATCTATACACGATTCACGTAAAATTTTTAACGTACCTCTCAGGTCTGACTATGAGCTAGCGAACGCTCAAACTGCCGAAAACCAAAAGAATGAAAGGAACACAAATAATATCGTAGTTTGTACTCTATGATTATACGGCATACAATATGCATGATCTCCCGCATAAAAAAAAAAAATAATAATAAAAAATCATGTTTCATTGACATATTGCACATAATACTTTCCTACTTATCATGACCTAAATTTCTTATGAGACGTACGTACATATTCATGGTAATTCATCGATCCTTTTCATACATGGGTACATCACGGTGTCTCCGAAGACATAAATATGATCATATGAATACATCAATCATAATCAATGAAAATCGATTACATGCAAAAAGGTTAGAAATTCAAATATCTAACCACTCCTGAGTACCTTAGAATAAATGCAGGGAATTTAGACTCAGACTACGTTGGTTACGAAAAAATAGTAGATGTTTTTGTTTTAAAAATTAAATATTCTGTTGTGTGAGGACGCATAAATTAGATAAAATATCACTATCCAATTTTCAAGAGTCAAAATATCTACCATGACCGACAGAAACAAAAGAAAATAAAATAAAACTAATGTAAAATAAAATACCTTACAATTTTGCGTAGTTATCTTATTTAGGATTGTACTAACTTTTTTGTTCTCATACTTTGTAAGTTTGCATGGCAGTCAACGAACAAAATCCTAGGCATCATTTCTTATAGGACAGTTTGATAGCTTTATTTGAACACATTTGTGTAAAGTTCTTAGTTTACCCATGTAGTCCTTTGTCCCCTCTCAATGCGGGTTTATAGTGCAGTGTGTTAAAAGATCATCACTAGTCCAATAGGATCAAGCCTAATAATTGTACTAGTCTATTGTCTATATAAATTACAAAAATTATTTAGGTACTTTAGGAATAAAGATACTTAAATATTTTGGGAAAATTATTTAGGTATTATAGGTAAAGGATTTAGGTAATTTAGTATTAAATGGTTAAATATTTTAGAAATAAATTGTCTAGTTCCTACGGTAAGTGCCTCTTCACACGGGTGAGGTTTTCACCTCAAGAAGTCCCAAGTAATCCAAGTAAAACAAAGTATTTGTAATATATTCTTGGTTTATCTTTACAAAGAGTGCTAGTGTTTTCATAGAGAGTGTTTTATTTGTAATATATTCTTGGTTTATCTTTACAAAGAGTGCTAGTGTTCTCCACAAAGAGGTGTGTTCAACAATCTCGTATCAGAGCAAGATGGGTGTACGGTGGTGATCTCTCTCTGATTTTGCAGATCAAAAATAATTTCTTGAGAATATTAGTTAGTGAAATTCTTTGTGTCGTGAGACGTTCGTGACTCTACAAGTTTTATGTCGAAAAAACTTGTTTGGTGTTACTAAGGTACAGGAAACACCTATATTCGAATAAGCAGAATCGAAGTCCAAGAAGTTGTTTACTGTAAGCCTTACAAGTACTGTGACGTTGAGACCCTTCACAGTACTAAACCTCTTTTCCATTAGTTCATGTAAGCCTTACAAGTACTGTGACGTTGAGACCCTTCACAGTACTAAACCTCTTTTCCATTAGTTCACAAGATTGTATGTTTACTTAAAAATGTTAGATTTATCGTAAACCTACTTATGTGTTTAGCGGTCGTTTTATGTGCCATTACATGATTTACATTGCACGTTGGATTCCACATTAGCGGATAAGGGGGAAGATCATAGGTATATAATGTTAGGTTATATAATTTGCAGCTTATTTATAGCATAATGAATGATAATATATATTAATGTTATATTTTACATTAGACATCGTGAAGAATTATATACAGTAAAAACTATATATGCTATATATGGTAGATAGCTATATATATATATAGTAGATGATTATATGTGGTAAAGTTATATATATTAAACTGAATCGTTCTCATTAGACTGTTTTGAAAATGTCTTGTTAGCGGAAGTTAATAATATAAACCTCTCACCAATATTTCTCCTTACATTTTCTCTCTCATGTTCTTTGTGTTCATCTACCTCGAGTATGTGTTGTTGTGCAGATCCTAACATAAAAGCGATGGACACTATCTCCCATGGCATGATATCTTTTGAGGAAACTAAAAGGAAAGCCATAAAAACTTATGTTCAAAGTGGATGGTATCATACCGATATAGAGAATTGATGTTCCTATCCTTGCACTCATATATTTTTGTTTGTTCACACTTTTTGTGATTGTTCCTTGGGATCTATTTTTATTTTCGGGTGGGGATGCATGCATAGTACTTCTTTACACACAGCTTATATGAATCCACTAGGCAAGCTCGTGTAGTACTACCTGACTTAGTTATGAGCTAGTGCACACTCATATTGCCAAAAACTAACAAAAAAGAAACGAATGTGCATAATATTGTGGTGTACACGTCTCTACATAACATATTGGATAAGTAATTCATGCTTGTGTGACATACAACATGCTTG